CCCCCCCCCCCCCCGTTACACGTCCTTTACAGGGTGGATGTAGTACAAATATGTTAAAGCTAGCAGACAGAAAAACAGAGGGGAAACGAGGGATATTACCAACTCCCTCGTAGATCGAAAGCTACATTTGGGGGCTTGGAGAAAACGAGAGCAGAGAGGAAGATGAGAGGAAAGAAAGAGAAAAAGAAAGACATTCAGAGCGTTTATAAATCGCTCTCTCCATAGAGGGCGCTGGAGAAGGAGATGTAATCCAGGGCTCCAGGGGCCACCTCAGGGCCGATGTACTTGGTCATGCGGCTGATGCAGTACTCGGCCTGCTCGAGTGGGAGTTCACGACGAAGCTCCTCCACGGTGATGTAGGGCTGAACGACAAGAAGAGACACTTTTACACCAACTCTCACTGTGTTTTTGTACTAAAATTGATACTAAAACGTGTGCAAATAAACATCGAGCATAATTAATTCTGAATTCTCCCAGACAATATGGCAAGTTGTTTTAACATTTAATCCTTAAAACATACTTGTATCTATTCAATTTTTTAGCTACTAGTATCTATTCCCATTAGGTATTCGTACTTACTCATTAGGTACTAGATGTTATTTATTAGTTACTAATACTTATATGGCAAGTCATTTTAACATTTGATCCTTAAAACATAGTATCTATTTTCGTAACACTTTATTTTAAGTTGTCCTTGTTACATGTTACATGTACTTACTATTATAATAACAATAAATTATGCATAATTACATGCAAGTAACCCTAAGCCAAACCCTAATCCTAACCGTAATCATGTAGCAAGTACATGTAGTTGATTTAAACATCGAGCATAATTAATTCTGAATTCTCCCAGACAATATGGCAAGTTGTTTTAACATTTAATCCTTAAAACATACTTGTATCTATTCAATTTTTTAGCTACTAGTATCTATTCCCATTAGGTATTCGTACTTACTCATTAGGTACTAGATGTTATTTATTAGTTACTAATACTTATATGGCAAGTCATTTTAACATTTGATTCTTAAAACATAGTATCTATTTTCGTAACACTTTATTTGAAGGTGTCCTTGTTACATGTTACATGTACTTACTATTATAATAACAATAAATTATGCATAATTACATGCAAGTAACCCTAAGCCAAACCCTAATCCTAACCGTAATCATGTAGCAAGTACATGTAGTTGATTAATACTACTCAGTACTTATATGTATAATTACACTGTAACAGGGACACCTGTTACAATAAAGTGTAGCCTTATTTTCATACTACTAGTACTTAATTTGTAGATACAAGTATCGATTCCATTAACTAATAGTACTTACTCATTAGCTACTAGTGCTTATTCTTTAGGTACTGCTAACTTTTTAAATGATACTAGTATTTATTCATTAGCTACTAGTTCTTTTATTTATCAGATACTGGTACATTCATACGATACTAGTACCTATTCAGTTCAAGTATCTAAAAATAGGTACTAGTATCTAAAAAATAAGTACTAGTAGTTAATGAATAACTACTAGTATATAAAAATATGTACTAGTCACAATTGGAAAACATACTAGTAAAAACTGAACAGTTGCTATTTAAATGACAGATCCCCATAGAAGTCAATGGCAAAAATGCGAAATGTGTTTCTAGCAACAATAGAACAGTTACTAGTCACTATTGAAATAAGTACTAGTATCTATTTCACAGGTACTAATATATAATGAATAAATACTAGTGTATTTAATTGTTAGGTACTAGTTCTAGATACATGTACCTTTTAAATATACAGTGGTGCTTATTATGAGATACTAGTACTTATTGATTAGCTACTAATACTTATTGAATAGATATTAGTACATATTTATTAGATACTGATACTTATACCAAACCTCTACATTGGCCTCGACAGTGCCAATTCTGACTAGTCATAACCTAAGACGAGTAAAAAAAATCAGAGTGCTTAACTATAATATTTAAAAAGATAGTAGTCACTATAGGAATACATACTAGTCAGAACTGAATCGTTGATATGTGAATGACAGATCCCCATAGACGTCAATGGCAAAAATGTTAAATGTGTTGCTAGTAACAACAGAATAGTTACTACTCACTATTGAAACAAGTACTAGCATCTAATAAATAGCAACTAGTATCTTTAAGTTACTAGTAACTAAACAATAAAAACTAGTAGCTTAAGAATAAGTACTAGTACCTAATGGAATAGACACTAGTAGCTAAAAAAAAATTCTAAAATAGATACTAGTACGTTTAAAGGATTAAATGTTAAATCAGCTTGCCAAACAGACACAAATGGATTAAAGAGCAGCAACACTGGATGTTGATCTCACCTTGTCGGAGGCCAGGATCTTGAAGGAGGCCATGACCTGTTCGGCAGTGTCGGTTTCAGCGGTCTCGCGTGTCATGAAGTCGATGAAGGCCTGGAAGGTCACCACGCCTGTGTTGTTGGGGTCCACCAGGGTCATGATGCGGGCAAACTCCACCTCACCCTGACAGAAACAGCCAATGAGATTCAAGATATCACATTTACCTTTGTGCTTATTGGCGTCCAGCAAAGCGCCTACTGAGATTGAAATTATTCCGGGTTGAGATAGGGCTTGAGCAAAACGTAAATGATTCAGTATGAAAGAGAGGTTTTCTGCAAAGTCATGCTTAACTTAAAGAAATAAGCCTTTTTAAAAATGATGTAAAAAATTCTAACAAACTAATTTGTTTAATGTTCAAAACAAAAATATTCAAATGTGTGATAGGCTTACATTTTTAGACATTAATTATTTGTTTATAATTAATGATTTATTTATGTTTTATGTATTTACATTTATGTTTTTAATTATATTTCCAAAAAATATGATACAATGTATTTATGCTGTTGCCAAAATATTTGAGAACCTTATTTTGAAACTGCTCAAATGTTTGGGGTGTTTTAAAGAGGTATAAATACGTATATTCAGCAAGGATTTATTAAATTGGTCAAAAGTAACAGAAAAAGAGACATATTAATGTTACAAATTTAAAAAAAATGCTGTTCTTGTGAACTTTATATTCATCAAAAAATCCTTTAAAAAAATGTACTACAGTTTCTACAAATATGTGAAGCAGCACAACTGTTTTCAACACTGATAATAATCAAAAATGTTTCTTGAGCAGCAAATCAGCATATTAGAATGATTTCTGAAGATCATGTGACGCTGAAGGCTGGAGTAATGATGCTGAAAATTCAGCTTTGCATCACAGAAATAAATTACATTTTACATTATATTCACATAGATAGCAGTTATTTGAAATTGTAATAATATTTCACTGATTTTCCTGATTTTATTAAAAAATGCATCCTTGTTGAGCAGAAGAGACTTCTTTCAAAAACAAAATAATCCTACCGACTCCAAACATTTGAATTGTATGTGCATGTAATTTGGTGAGGATGAATGATTTTGTCTCAGTGCATTAGTAATATCGATACAGAAGGGGTTTTATGTGAGTGGGAGGAGTTTTCTCGTCGCTCACCAGATCGTAACCCATGGAGATCAGACATGCGCGGAAATCGTCGGGGTCCATCATGCCGTTTCTCTTCTGCAAGTTAAAAACAATAGTGAGTCCCCTTGCATACGGTCAGATGTGAATGTGGATGCGTGTCTCACTGACCCTGTCGAAGTGGTTGAAGGAGGCTCTGAACTCATTGAGCTGCTCCTGGCTGATGCCCTTGGCGTCGCGGGTCAGGATCTGGTTCTCCACCTCGTTGATGGTGCGAGCGATGGTGGTGAGCAGCTGCTCCCAGCCCACACGGACGTGCTGGAGGAGGGAATGACGGATGATGCCAGAAACAGAGCCATCGTCAATTGTTGCTGGCTCTTGAACATTCATCATTCCTCTCATAATGCTTACTGTTCCGTGTGTAATGTGAATTTGTTATGCAAGCTCTGTTTAATGGTTTTATTTTTGGGTAAGGCATCATACAAAAAAACTTTATATTATTATTAGACTAAATATTATTATGAACACATCACTAAAATATATAGGAGAGACCAGGTTAATCATTAATGAATTATAAAAAATAAAATAAGTAAATTTTTGTGATTCATTATAGTTCTGCTATTTAAATTTTGCTAAAATGTATTTTAAAAAATGAACAGAAAATTAAAAACATATTAAATACATGTATGTTTTGACTTTTTTTTTTACCTTAGTTTTTATATTTTATATAAAATATAGGGTCAGTGTGTTTTAAATTAACTCTAAAAGTGCTATTATCAGGGTTACTATAGGTAACTAAAATTAAAACCATAAAAAATTAAATGAAATGCAGTCTAAAACAACGTTAGATTAGTAAACATTTCTCATTTTAATTCCGCTTTTTTAACTAAAATTCAATTCAGTAATTCAGTATACTTGACGTACTAACATAAATGAAAAAAATCTAATGAAAGTTGATAAAAACTATTTAGAAATAAACACGTGATTTTTTTTGTGATTCATAATAGGTTTACTATTTAAATTGTGTTAAAAAAAATCATTAAATAATTATTTTAAAATAAAAACAGTAACATTAAATACATATCTGATATGGAAAATGGCTTTTTTTTAACTTAAACTACATTAACTATATTTTAAATAAAGGCATTCCTCTTGAATTTGTGTCAATAAAACGATAGGTTCCCACTGTGACAACTTACCCCACTATAGCACCAATATGTGTTTTAAATGATCTTTGTAAAAACTTTGCTTTGTAAAGGCTTTAAGTTTTGTATGTGTAAAAAATAGATTTTAAAAGCCTGTGAAATATTCATAGGTAGCATGAAACTAGTCCCAGTCCCCCGTATAACACAAAACAAAAAAATGAGTGATTGTTCTGAAAATGAAGCCTGTGTTTGTAACAGAATACCTCCATGGTGTAGTTGGTGTGTTTGTTGTCGAAGATGAGCGCCTCCTGAATGAGCTGGTGATCTCCCTCCTGTTTGTCAATGTTTGATTTGTAGTTGATGATGTTCTGCTCGTACTGCTTCAGATTATTCATCTGTTCCTCCAGTGAGCCGGTGATATCCACCGACACGTGACCGATCTCCTAATAACAGCAAACCGACAGAGAGAGAGAGACGGTGAACAAATGTGCATCAGAAGAGAAAGAACAGAAGTCTGTAAATAAAAAAGGAATCAGCAAACAAAGTCAAGAAGCTTAACCAAGCTAAAAGCTACTCATACTTAAAAAAAAATGTTTTATCGTTTATTCATTATAATCATTATTTTTGTTCTTAAAATAAATGTTACCTGAAATAAAATAAAAAGTTAAAGAAAAAAAACAACTCGATAAATTAACTTATTCTATATAAGCTACCTGGCAAGGAAGCATTTTAATTTAGTTTAAATTGATGCTTTACTTAGTTACTTCCCAAAACTGATACCTTTAAAAGTTAAGTTTTCAGAAATTGGAGGCTTGAGGCAAAAGTGCCACTAAAATGAACAAAAATGCCCCAGAACAACTAAACTAAACCCATTATGGCTGTCGAGATTAAAGTGAAATTAAAAATAAATAATAATAATAAAAATGACAAAAACACAACACAAAATTACCAAAACTTTAACTTAAAATTATGGTGAAACCAAAAATATCAAAATCATTCAAAATAAAGGGAAAAAACTAAAACAAAACTCAGAAATTGGAGGCTTGAGGCAAAAGTGCCACTAAAATGAACAAAAATGCCCCAGAACAACTAAACTAAACCCATTATGGCTGTCGAGATTAAAGTGAAATTAAAAATAAATAATAATAATAAAAATGACAAAAACACAACACAAAATTACCAAAACTTTAACTTATGGTGAAACCAAAAATATCAAAATCATTCAAAATAAAGGGAAAAAACTAAAAAAAGACAAAAAAACAGAGCAAAATTACCAACTAAAATTAAAATGAAAAATGAAGAAAAAATAAAATGTAAATCTAAATTAAATCTATTATGGCTGTACAGGTTAAAGTAAAATGGGGGAAAAAATGAACGAAAAGTGTTCATTCGCATCAGATTTCTTCACTTGTATGTGATCCTGGAGCACAAAACCAGTCTTAAAGGGTTAGTTCACCCAAAAATAAAAATTAGCCCACAAATTACTCACCCTCAAGTCATCTTAGGTGTATATGACTTTCTTCTTTCAGACGAATCCAGTCGGAGTTATATTAAAAATTGTCTTTGATCTTTCAAGCGGTTTCATAGCACTCAGCGGGTGTTGCATGCATCAGTCCAAAAGCAGTTAAATAAAAAGCGCCCATCCATAAAAAAAAATCTAACACGGCTCCGGGGGGTGAACAAAGGCCTTCTGTAGCGAATCGATGCGGTTTTGTAAGAAAAATATTCATATTCAAAACGTAATAATCACTTTAATGTAGCTTGCGCCAACAGTTTACACGGAAGCAGCTCCGGGAGCATGACGTATGAGGTCAGCGCTGCGTATATCTCGGCCAAATATTGTCCTATCCTAACAAACATCACACATCAATGGAAAGCTTATTTATTCAGCTTTCAGGTGATGAATAAATCTCAATTTTGAAAAATGGACCCTTATGACTGGTTTTGTGGTCCAGGGTCACATATGAGCTGTCTGAATGAATCAGTTCATTAAAGCGAATTTGACTTAGACTTAGAAAGAAAGTGTTTGATTATTGCTTTTAGTAACTTCCCAACACTGATACACTCGCAACTTCATTAAATCTTGTTGTTTACTCCCAACACCTCATGGTTTCATCATGTTGAATAAGCTCACCTCCATCTTGGTCTGAATCCAGGGTCCGATGATGTTGGCCTGAGCGGCGAAGGAGCGCCGCAGCCTCTCATTGGCCTGTTGCCTGGCAACCTCCTCCTGCAGCATCTGGTCTCTGAGGGGAACCAGCTGCTTCACCTGCAGGGGGCGACAGATCAGAAACACACATCTGAGTCTCTTCATGCAACCAGAAGTGAAGTAAATGACTAGCCATGAGCTTTGTGTGTCTGTACTCACTGCCTCCCATTTGTTGGTGATGTCCTGTGGGCTGAGGACCGTGTAGGGATTGACTCCGACCAGCTTGATGCCGTAGGTCTGGGCGATCTTGGTGATCTCGTTCTGGATGCCCATGATGGCGATGCGCTCCTTATCGGCTTCTGGCAGGGTGGCCTTGTACTGATCGTGAGCTGTGATCAGGCTCTGAAAGAGAAATGGAGATTAAAGGTGTAGTTAATGGTGTCCTATTATGCTTTTTTACTTTTTCAACAGTAGTTAGTGTGTAGTGTTGCTGTTTGAGCATAAAAAAGATCTGCAAAGCTCAAAGACCACTCTACACTGAGATATTCTCTTTAACAGAAAACACTTTACAAGAACTGCAGTGCACTTCTTCACAATATCACTCTTTTAAATAATTCCCACCCACAAAAAACCCTCAAAAACGCGGGCGAAGCCAGCACTGTGTTTCCCACAAGCATCGTAAGCTTAAGTACATCATAGACCCATTGAAACCAATGGAGCTACGATCAACTTTGGGAAATACAGCCCTGATTGAGCTGCACTAGAGACCATAGACTGTAATGGCAAAATTAGTTAAAATTTACAGCTGAGCAGATGAAACTCATGTTATGGTAAGGGGCGTGTCACTCTAAGCGGTTCTCCAATCACAACGCACTGGGCCAGCTAACCAATCAGAGCGCATTTCGTTTTTCGGAAGGAGGGGCTTCATTGAAACAGGAACTGAACAGGGTGTTTGAGACAAACTGGGAAGAGCGGTCCTGCAATTCAATCTTTGCAGGGAGTTTGATTGACAGGCGATCTAACCAATCATAATCTACCATTTTATCCGACAAACAAACCAAAGAGGAGAGTAGATTAACATCCGTGGACTTGAACTTGAAAAATAGCGTGTATTAAGGTCTTTCCACAGTTGAATTTAGATACCCTTCTGATGTTCATTCATGTTTATTTCATGCTATAACTAGCAAAGAGGAAGAGATGATCGGTTCATGTGCCGCTTGAACTGAGGTGCAGAGATCTGTCACGACACATTAAAGAGCCATAAATCGGTATTTATTGTTTGAATTTCAAATTTGAAAGCTGAGACTTTTTGTTTCACACCAAAAGTAACCTGCTCTGTTTTGTCTGTCAATGTGTTGTCAGTTTTCTCTTTGCTCCGTGATGTATTTTTCACTGCATGAGAACATGATGTGTGGCGTGAGAGTGCCATGACTTGTCAGACATAGCGGCAGTAACTCAGTTATGTAAAATATGTGACCAATAATGCATTTTTGTAACAATCAAGCATGAAAACCTATTCTAGTACACCCCAAAAACCAAATCAAGACTTCATAAAAGGGCATAGGACCCCTTTAAAGGGGTCACCGAATGCATTTTTTAAATTATTTTAGAATGTTTCCTGAGGCGCATTTATAATCTTACTTTTTTTTTCTATCAAAAACAGTCACAATTTAAGTATTATGGAAGAGGATTAGGGACAAGCAATAATAAAAAAATAAAATCATCTCGAGATTAAAGTCGTTACATTTCAAGAAAAAAGTTGAGATAAAATGTTGAGATTAAACTCATTAAATAACGAGAAAAAAGTCGTAAAATTTCGAGAAAAAAACTCGATTTCCAATTTTCCGATGTGATATTTGATGAGAAAAGGAAGAAAAGCAAGTTTGGCAAAAGATGGACTCGAACCCAGTCGATTGTATCAGTCGCTACTCCCCAGTGCATTACTCTCCAACCCACCCCACTGCAGACGCTAAATAACGCTGTCCAACAAGATGAAATGAACATGACACGAGTGTGTTTATTCTCGACTTTTTTCTCGCAATTTAACGACTTTTTTCGCGTAATTTAACGAGTTTTTTTCTCAAAATGTAACGACTTTTTTCTCGTTATTTAATGAGTTTATTCTCAACATTTTATCTCGACTTTTTTCTCGCAATTTAACATCTTTTTTCTCATAATTTAATGAGTTTATTCTCAACATTTTATTTCAACTTTTTTTCTCAAAACATAACGACTTTATTCTCGAAATTTAACGACTTTAATCTATGGTTTGTTTTATTTTTTTATTATTGCTTGGCCCTAATCCTCTTCCGTAAAGTATAAATAGTCATTTTCTACCCCGATTTTAGCCTCTGATTTGAATGATCCGCTAGAGGGGGCGTGTCTGCTGTGAGACTTAATGAAAATGCCCACTTTTATGATTGGCTAACATCTGTGCATATGAAACGAGCATTACATGTGGAACTCTCTTGAAAACTTTTACTGCATTTTTACTTAAACAGCCGCCAAGCTGAACTAATGGTGAAAAGTATTGATTATATCGTTATATATTTAGAACTGCTTCCATCGCATCAAAGGTTGCAGCCAAACACTGTCATGTTTACTGGGCATGCGATGATCACAGTAGCAGTTTAGATGTTTCCATCTAAAGTAATTTATATGCAAAATTGGAATATCGCATAAAATATTTGCGAATAATTTTTGTATATAATAAATTACTTGTTCCTCAGAGCGCGCAGACGGAATGCAATAAACACGGTCATGTTATCTTGCTTTTAGAGGCGGATGACTGCTGTTTGTGAACGCAGTCATGAAAGATAGCTATACCGAACCACTTTGATGACAGACTTTGGCTTCAAAATGACCAAAACAACATTTCCCATCACGCAAAGCCACATGACTTTTTTGATGCGCATCGAGGAATTTATTTGTTAAATGTATTTCCATTATAGTTTATGCGCATGTGTTCTTAGCGAAAAAATAATTATTCGACTCAAACATTTTTTATGCGCATTTTGCATTTACATTTAGCGTTTTTATGTGATATCCCCAAATGTGCATAAAAATAGGTGGATGGAAACATAGCTAATGATCTCCTTAATGCAACACAATCTGACCAGTACATTCATCGTAACTAATACAGGTAAAACACAATGTAAATAAGAGACTCGTTGAGCAGTTAGTCGTACTGATAGACTCACACTGCTCTTTGATTGCTTTATAGATATAAATAGATTTATAGATATAAAGAAAATATAGATAACAGATGGTTTTCATGCTACTAACAGGAACAGTGTGAAGTTGACCGTTTAGTCGCTGGTGTGATTCACTTAACAGCAGTAAAACACTGTGCCACAAAGAACGTCTGTACATGAGCTGCTGCTCTTTACAGAAAATATAGCGTTTTCTGGGTTACTTACTGAGTATTTTCTTTTAATAACCATCATAAATTATAAAATGGTTATTCAGAATAGAAAGTGCTGTTCGTGTGCATGTCTCTTATCTAATAATGGGTGAGTAGTTTCACGCTGCTTCATAAAAGCCTGTGCTGCACAAGACTGTGTTGATAAATAGGTTTGCAGTGCATTACAGTGTTTTCTGCTTCAGTTACATGCAACAAAAATAGACACTAAATTTCTACTCGCACCTGCAAATGCGAAGCTTGCGTACGCAGTCGGTGTGAATAATGTGGCCTGTAAATGTGGGCACTGAAATAAATACACGCTGCTATGAAACAGGTCGTACTGTTCTGAATTTTAGTAATATGCATTGCTAAGAACTTCATTTGAACAACTTTAAAGATGATTTTCTCAATATTTAGATTTTTTTGCACCCTCAGATTCCAGATTTTCAAATAGTTGTATCTCAGCCAAATATTGATAACAAACCACACATCAGGTACATCACATACAAAATTGTCTATATTATATACTGTGTTTTTGCTTTTTTGTACATTGTCTATTTTGTCTATTTTTATATTATTCTTTTTATTATCTGTGTCCTGTCTTGTCACTGTCATTCTGTTGCACTGTGGAGCTTCTGTCACTAAAACAAATTCCTCGTATGTGTAAACATAACTGGCAATAAAGCTCATTCTGATTCTGATTCTGAAAGTTTGAAGGGACTGATTTACGGAAATTAATAAAACTTCCCGTCTCTAGAGGTGGATGCTATTAAAACTTCCCTGCTTTAACAATTTCATACTTGTGGATTGTGACACAATTAGGGGGTGTGAAATTAGCCTACTTACCGGCAAGAAACATAGCAACTTGGTGCCCTAACTGCAAAATACTGTAGCTTTTTGTTTTAGTTATTTTTGTTGCTTCTCAC